AGAACTCCAGGGGAACGGAATGGCCCTATCCGTGAGCCTGGCTCGTAACGAACCGCTTCGTCGAGTGTACTCGGAAAATAACACCCAGCGTTAGATTTCATTTTTGTAATAAAATCTGAAATTGAATCTTGTAAAACGCAAGAATGATGTATCGGTAAAAAATCCCTATAAAAAACCGGCGAATGCATTTCTCTAATTTTTTCTGTATTTTTTTTGAACTTCCGAAACTACTTTTCATTCCAGTCCATCAACTTCCATGACAATGGCGCTCGGCATAAAAACGAATGTGCTTCTTTTCTGCTTTCTTTGTTCGAGAAAGTGAAGGAGAAAGCCCGTTGAAATGTTGCGGGCCCTACTTTTGTTTCTGATAATAAAAATCAGTCTGGAGCGGATTCAATTTGTACGCCGCCAATGTCCTACCTACGATGCCGTGCCGGCTACGAATTGCTTTATTAGTTGTGCATTATTGGGGCAACAATGCAAGGGGATAGGTATCTTTTAATCGAAGATATTTAAAGGGATTGACAAAGCATGACTATGGTTTTGTGGAATATTCATATCCTGAATGATTTAAAACAGTTCCACCCGCCTAGATGCGACCTGCAGACTCTATCTTAAGACAGATCCGGATCCCGATTATTTCTTTCTGGGCAGCACGATTGGCAGTAAGGCCTTCGCGGCTACCGGCGAATCCAAGGATACATGCAAATCAATAGTGGATTTACCAGTGGTAATGTATACCTTTATTGGGTTTCAATATCGTGTAATTATCATTTTTATCTTTAAGCCGGCCTGTGACGGTGGATGGACGCTGGGGAATAACACGGATAAATGTTTTAAGGTATGGGAGAGAGACAGCTGGGACAGAAAACGAGAGAGAGAGAGAGAGAGAGAGAGAGAGAGAGAGAGAGAGGGAGAAGCTAGCTATATTTATTTAGTTTATCACCGGTTTCACCCTGGGCTTCGAAAAGGCACAAAATTATTGCTATAACCTGACCGCCACACTGCCGATTATACACTCGGCTGCTGAAAATAAAGCGGTTTATGGTAAGCCAAACTACTTTCGATATTTTAAACTAGTTGCTGAAGATTTATGGCAAAAGACGGCAAACAACAAGCTCTACGTGTGGCTTGGCGCCAATAGGGTATGCCGCTTTCGTTCTTCACCTCGCTTGCCCTCTCTTTCTGTCACCCGCTCTCTCTCAGTCATTCTCCCTCTCGCTCTCTCTGCCCTTCGCTCTATAACCCTCTCTGTCTCACTCCGTCTCACTCTGTCTCTCGCTGTCTCTCTGTCTCTCTCGCCTCCGATCGACGCCATTTCAGACAGGCCCTGATTTATACAACATTACCTGGATAGATGGCACCAGCGTAGATTTTGCAAATTACGATTCCGAAAAATTTGATGCCTGGGGCGGATATGAAAACTGTCTAGAGGTCTAGAGAGGACTGTCTAGAGAGGACGCTATACAATCAGTTTCGGAGCCCGAAGATAGTATGATAGCGGCTTTACCATGGAAATAATCAAGTTCGCCTTTAGAAAAAGCAAAAATACGCCTTACTTACAAAGTTTTTTCTTAACCTTCACTAGGCATCACGCATTTCCTAAAACCCAGCAGCCTCCATGACGACTCAGAAAAGCGCAAGAATTTATGTTCCGACGCAACCCGCTTTCGCGCGTCCAAGAGCTCACAAAAATCTTGAGGCCGATAATGTTATTTTTGCTGATCCTAGTCGGTGCTAGCCATTGCGCAAGCTCCTTTGCGCGCCTGGATTGCCCAAATGGAGGTGGCGTTCCGGATACGATCTGTTTTGCTCGGTGTGCTTTGCTGGGGCAAAAATGCAAAGGGACAGGTAAGGTAGGAACAGGTTTTTGTCGGTTTTTGTCGGTTTGTTTTGTCATGGTTAACACCTTGCGCTGAATCGTTAACGCTATGAAATTTCGACATTGCGAAGCCCGCCGATTTCCGACATTTTAAGTTCCAGTATACAGGGTGTCCCAATACAAAAAATACCTCCCTCTAACTCGGCGCCAAAGTATCGGATCGGAACGGGAGTTACACAGTTCGAAATCCCTTGAAACCGCAAGTTTGCAAAATTCTTCAAAACCATGTTTTTATTTAAACGCGCCATTTTACAACGTGTTTAAAAACATTAAGAAACGCCCTCTGCATCTAATTAACGGCTACTGTGTTTTTTTTGGGAAGGGGGGTGTTTTTTATTGGGACACCCTGTACTGATAAAAAAACGCTGTGGTTCCCCTGGAAACATTCGGTTCCCGGCTTTTTCACATTTTAAAACCATTTAGACCTTTCGTGTCGGGCATATCTCGAGACGGATCCGGATCCGGAATACTACTTTGTGGGAAGTACCATTGGCGCGACGGCACTTGAGGCGAGTGGAGGACGAGGTACTACTTGTCCAACTAGGATCGACGACGTCCCAACGGTACTGTTTTTTGTCCGAATCGACTTGTTAAATCCCGGATTATAGCCGGGCTGCGACGAGGGCTGGACGCTCGGAAGTGGGACGGATAAATGTTTAAAGGTATGCAAATGGCAATGTGCACGAGGTGCGCAGATTTTATAGTCCAAGTATACAGGAATATATAGAACGGGAATTTGAATATTTTCAGTGGATAGACGGACACAACTCGAGTTTCACGACGTCCCAAGAATATTGCGAAACGCTCGGCGCAACCACACCGATATTACATACTGCGGCAGAGAATGATGCCATTTTTGGTAAATATCGATATTTCAGCTTCTCGATGCGTTTTTGCAGCCTTATGGCGTGCATCGGACATGAAACTCTGCGTTTGGATTGGGGCACAAAGGGTTGGTTCGCCCGACGTATTTGAAAAAGCTTCTACTAGCCTTTGTTCTCTCTCTCTCTCTCTCTCTCTCTCTCTCTGTCTCTCTCTCCTTCACGTTTTCTAATATTTGAGACCGGCGACGACATCTACAACATTACCTGGATCGACGGAACCGCAGTTGACTATAAGAATTACGATACCGAAAAATTTGATAACTACTTGGGCAATGAACCATGTCTAGAAGTAAGGCGCTAGGCACTGATCATTGCTTTAATAATTTTTTTCAGATAAATAATCGCAATTTGTGGAACGACATGCCATGTAATAAGCCCCATTATCTCGTCTGTCAAAAGCCCGCGGTACGTATGTCACCTACGTATGTCGGCCGATAAAAATGATAATTTAGGAAAATCTCTATATTTATTGCAAACGTCGATTGCAATTTCAATTTTAGCGTTGGCACAGCCCCAACGGTCAACAAGTCTTTTTCCCATGAAATGGCGATGAAGCAGAAGTCCTGAAAACAGCAAGTTAACCATCTGAAGCACAAAGCATAAAGATTAAACTTTTATGTAGTCCCGAGAGCAACATTTTGCTACTTTTAAACAGTTTCCATGACGACAAGCACGAGGGCAAAGCTTTATGGTCAGCTCCTAAGCTCCGAAAAGCGTCGGAGACAGTCGAAAACTCTCCAAAGATCATGAGTAAATGTTTATTTTTCTTTTTATGTGTTGAAGGTTGCTTGATGGAAAGTCAATTCTTACAACGCAACAATGCTACCTACGGTTTTCCGGCTTCGATTTGTTTTGCTCGATGTGTTCTGTTAGGAGACATGTGCAAGGGGACAGGTACGAGATCGGGATTACCTATTTTTAAGGAAAGTTACAAACAACCTTAATATTATAAACCCAACTTTACTTTAAAACGCTAGTTTACACGGCTATATTACGCTACGTTAAGTTACAACGCTTTAAACTATGTATGAGGGTAGAGGGTACAACGTTATAAACTAACTAAAAAACCCGAAAAAGCGACTTAACCGTTTCAGATGCGACCTGTCGGGCCTATAATGCGGCCAAAACGGATCCGGTTTATTATTTTTGGGGAGTGATATCGGAGTGACAGCTTCAAGAGCTACTGGAGATAGTTTCGGAAGCTGTTGAAACCCTCAATCGGGCGTACCAACGGTATAACTCGAGTGCCCAGGCTTCTAAGCCGTTTTTAACCGTTAGCAAGTTTGCGATGATGGCTGCTAAATCAGAGATTCCGAAATATAAATAAACATATAAATAATCCTTGTCAAAACATTAAATTTTGTTTAAGCAGGAGGAGCTTTTCAGCGGATGCCCGGGAAACCCACCACCTTTTCGAAGGGCCGAAAGCTTGTCAGCAACAGGGCGCAGATCTGCCGATTTTGCACTCTGCCGTTGAAAATGGGGCGCTTTTTCGTATGTCTATATTATCAAAATTATCGTTGTAACCATTCCAGAATTTTGGCAAGCCGCTGCTGACAATACCTACTATGTATGGATCGGGGCGAATCGTGTAAGGATTTTCCATGGGTTTTGAAGAACTTGCTCGGTTTGCAATCACATTTAGCCTTTGTAAAATTTTTAAGCCGATTGAAAGCGCGCTTTAAGACGGGCCCTGAGCTCTACGACATCACCTGGGTCGAGATTATGCAAATTACGATACAGTAGTGTTTGACGACGCCGAAAAGGATGAGCCTTGTTTGGAGGTTTGTTGATTTACTGGTTCCGCATTTGGTTCGGCGCTCATTTGTTGCAGCCAAATGATTAAACGACTTACAGCTAAATGAATACAATATGTGGAATGATATCTACTGCGGAATCCAGCATTATCTGGTCTGCCAGAAAGCGCGGTAGGCCAGAAACTCAAATTCGCATGACTTTAAAAAGTCGGACAAACGATTTTAGAAATGGATTACTCCTCAAGGTGTGGAAGTGCATTTTCCATAAAAAAATCGAACAGATTTTTGTACGGTTTGGATTGGAAATGATTAAATTTTTTTGAAGAGAAAGGAAAACGGAATAACGAGTGCTCTTTCATGCAAAAAACTGCCACAACCATAAAGCACGGTAGCATTGCACAACATCTCCTTTAAAGTTACGCGGTCAAAAAAAAATCATTGAGAAGAATATTGAAAAGAAGCGCGTCGGTTCCTTTAGGCGGTGCTCTCCTGCGTCTTCGCTTCCCGCACCGAGATCACGGACGATTTGTCGGAAAAAACACGACGCGAGAATTGTTTCCCAAAAACCAGGGTGACGAATTCTTCTGGAATTTTTGGGCGTTTAAAGCTAGGAACTACGAAAATTACCCTGAAAGGCTCGGATGAATAGGAACGGCAGGGCAACGGCCAAGAAAAGATACGCACGCCCGCCTATTCGAAGGAGGAGGTCGATCAGAAATGGGACGCTGATTTCTGAATTTAACGTATGAATCGTATAAAATCGGCGTCATTAATAAGGGCTACCCATCATTACCTATTAAATCACCAGATGGTTACAGTCGCTTCGCGACTGCAACCATCTGGCCTTCGGGCTACCCTACATGTCCCATTCCACCACATACTTTCCCACCTCCATCACTACCCCCGATAGCCGAAATCCCGTTCAAAAACTACCTAAATACCTTCCCGATGGCTTCAGATACCCCCCATGGCTGAAATCCCCTTCAAAAACTACCTAAATACCTTCCTGATGGCTTGAGATACCCCTCATGGCTGAAATCCCCTTCAAAAACTACCTAAATACTTTCCAGATGTTTTAAGATACCTCCCCTAGCCGAAATCCCCTTAAAAAACAAAAATAACGACCGACCGGATGGAATGAGAGAAAAAAAGAAATCAAATCCCCCGTGAAAATTTTCATCTACGAAACGCGCGCCACCTGGCTCACTACGTCCAAAATCACCCCAACCTCCGTCCCCCCACCCCTTTTACTAAGGAAAAAACTTTCAAAGTTAATTTTAATAATTTCACTCAAACTTTTTCATAATTTTTTTATCAGTTTGGGGGTTTCTGACGGCGCTCTATCCGAATCCAAAGAGAGCTAAGCTCTAGCTCTTTTCCCCTTCGAGTTGAATTCGGCTTCAGACGGACAGACGGACGGAGACCACAACAAAATTATTATAGTTGATGATTACTTCTAAAAGCCATCATTTCAAAAATTAGAATTCATAAATTAAAATCAAATTTAGCGAGGTTTTGGGAATAGATAAGGCCAAACGTGCCAATAACTGATAATCCGCTACTTTTAGAAGCAACGACTTTAGAATTACTGATTTTGAAAGTAATGACTTTTAGAAGTAAGTAGAAATTATGAATTTAGAAGTAATGATCGTCCCTCATCAATAAGAAATCGGCAATGACGTTAACTCACTCATATTTGCTAATGTGATTTGCGCAACCGTCCCGGACTGCAGTATGGCGGGCAGGGTGCTGGACAGAATCAGGCCGATCTGAACGTTTCGCTGGGCGGCCTGGGTATAGGATGACTGCGATTTCCCTGAATTTAGTCGTAGATTGATAACCTTCTGTTAGTCCTAGTCGGTTGATTAAGATAATAGTCTTATTTTCCATTTTTAGTGCCGATTACCCTTCATTTTTTTATACTGAGTACGCAGGAAGAATAATATCGATAAGTTCAAACTGGCCGCCACAATATCGTAAGCGACAAAGAAGCAGATTACGTTCTAAAAATTCTGAGTTATTTCGCTGCTAGTGCCTTACAAAATATCCGCCAAGCTTCGTCGTAGTAATAATCGGATTGCAAGTGTCATTATAACCCAGTTCCCCGAAAAATGCGGCGATTATGGCGTGGGCCAGCTTAAAATTTCATTTGAATTTTTTTAGGGTTTGAAGTACCTGGCGTGAATAAAAGAGAGCCCCGACCGCGAGCAGCCCAAGGAATGGCATATCGTAATCGAGGATGATGAGACAAAAACGGCTGACGGAAACTACCTAAAAACTGATTTTTCGCGTTGTTTAAGATGAGCTTACAACCATAAACACATCGACATAATGATTTAGATAATAGCTGGTGGTCTTGAAAAGCATACAGATGAGTGCGTTTGTCTAAAACTATACTCTAGTCTTGTATAAATAATAAAATAAAACTTTGCAAAGTGCGTTAATGTTAAAAATTGTCTAAAATCTTCTATAAGCCTAAAAATCGTGGCATGGAAGCAGGGGCGCAGCCAGAAAAAAAATTTCGGGGCGGGCGCCAAAAATTTTTTCCAACATACTCTAAAATTTAACAAGGAAGGTTACATAGCTTTACAAAGAGCCGTAAAAACGTGAAAAAAATAGCGCCGCAGGTAGCAAAATTTTTGAGAAAATAAAAATCATAAGGGTCTGCCCTTATGAAATTTTCGGGCCCCGGCCGATTTCGGGGGGGGGGGGGTGTATTACGCTACGTCCCTGCATGGAAGCATTTGTCTTTCCGAACAAATCAAGCACAAAGCACAAAAAAAAACATTTCCTTTTCAGCTCATAATTTACCTTAAGCCCCAAGTAGCTGGCCGTAATCATCCACAAACAATTGCAGCCCCAATTGAACACGTATACCGCGTTACCGTAGCTCACCAGAAATACCGAATTCTAGATAAAAGCAGCTTAGTTGAAATTTCTATTAAAACACATACCCTATATACCAGATACAAATCTCGTTTCTTGAACTGGAGATACACAAGAAATAAGAAAGGTAGGGCAGCCGGGGTGCTAAATTTTAATACGAAAAGATGGGTTTTGGATACCTACGTAAAAGCTGCGTCCATAATGGCGCTTGGCAGATAGGCCTGGCTAAAATTCGACTTGACCATCCAGAAATCCATAACCTTTACTTTCTCGCCTTCCTAAAAACTATTCATTTTTCTAGTTTTTAGCCTGTCATTTGTAGTCTAAAAGCTTTAAGATTAAAAATTACGTAACCTTTTGGCTACACATACCCTTGAAAATTCAAAATTGAAACGAAATCCTCGAAACCTAACACCAAATGCCAAGCGAAACTAAGACCACCCGAGCTATGGGAATTTTGCCATTTTTTCGGGTGATTCAAGGTACTAATTGTCGGCTTTATACCGTTTTAATGAAAAGGAAAACGTTGACTCTGAGCAATATGCTCCTTCAGGCGTCCGTGGGCGTGAGAATATATGCAAAATATGGAAAGATCGGAAGTCGGGGCCGTGCGTGCCGGCGTTTTTGACCTCGTGCTCGATCATATGCCATTTGGGCTCTTTTTATTTGAAATTTGACCACAAACATCAGGCTCCATTTGTTTAAAACTTAGTCTTTGGTTAAAAACGCCATTTTAAATAAGAAAATCTGAAAAATAACTTATTTCCTTGAACTTAACGTTACATAAAAAACACGGTCGATTATAATACTATGTATGTTCTTGAGAGGAAATCCATTAAGCTTTTATTACCCTCATATGTTACGAATCAACGTGCCTGCCACTTTTTACAGCTTCCACGACAGGCCAGCTGCCGCTTTTCCACCAACATGTACGAGGTCAGACCCGGAAATCTCTGACCACTTCGATCCCTTGATCTTTTCACGTGTTTACTCCTGCCCAAGTAGGTTAATTACCGCATAGCTTAGGTGCTATAAAGCTGAGATCGAGGCGTTAAGGCTTGATCGCAAAAACAACGCGAAAATGGCTATGATGGTTCTGTTATTTATGCTGTTTTTACAATATTCAATCGCGAGTATGCCGCCGGGAAGTGATGCGAGTAGGTTTATATTTAAAACGAGAGACCAGGGTTGAAAAATGTAAAACGTAAAACGAAAAATCAAAAAAAGAATCGGATGAAAGCGATTCGCTTCAGTTTACGCACTTCTGTGTAATGTGAAGCGGCACCTAACAACGAGATTTTTTGAGATCGTTACAAAAACTTAATTTTGATCGCGACACCGCCGATTCTCATCTCTTTCAAGAGATGACGCAGCACGCAATGACATCTCAAACATATCGTAAAAACCTTCCCCGAGGCTGTAGGTGCGGGAAATACGTACGGAAGTTGCATGCAAATGCACACACAGACACTTTATTGATATACTGTAGGATCAGTCCCTGCAGACGCGTCCGGGCGCGTTGCGTATCGCATTGCTTGCCTTGCGCCCGGCTTGTTGCGTCGCGTTCGCCCGCTAAAACGAGACACAATGCGACCGTTCATCATCTGCCAAAGGTGCAATATAAATCAAATTTTTTTTTGCAGGAAACCTGGCCTGGATTGACGCAAGCATCCCCATCGAAATTACCTCCATAACTTTGAATAAAAACTCCACCCTGTTGGAAGAAAAACACGGCCGCGTATCGCACTACGTCAGAGGACACCCATTTGTGAGAATAGCTAGATGGGTTCAGAAGATAATCAAATTCAGGACTGGGAGAACCAAATCTTCTACGGCCTAAAGGTATCCCTGGAATTTCAAATGGAACCCGGAAAGGTGTATCGCGATTTTGAGTTTGAAGAAGTTTTCGAGGAGGGCCATTTTCATGTTGAGTAAGCTGATTTGAATCCTCATTGATTCCAATGTTCCCTATTCTCGACTGATTTTCAGAATCGTTGGGACTTGGAAGAACAAGCTGAATTTTGTGATACCGGAAGGCATTGTGGTTTTCACGTAAGGAAAAATGGAAAACGCAGAATTTCTTAGGTATACAAAGACAGCCCCAGAATTTACCGTCACTTTCAAGCCTGTGTTGTTGCCAAATGGAAGCGGTAAGTGTAGGACTAGATGTGGAGAACAGGAGAGAGAGAGAGCGAGAGAGAAAGAAAGAAAGAATGATGCCGATTTTCAGGTTGTGACTGCCCAGTTTTCGGCATGATATCTGGCGACCAAGACAATGGCTGGCTGGATCGCGGAAGAAAATTCAGCGGACAGTACCCTCAAGTGAACTTCCGTTTGAATTTTAATAATTTAATATTAATCAATTCGTGTCTTTTTTATGTTCCTTTTCAGGCCTGCGGTCTTGATGCCCATGCCGGCTTCGTTTGCGGCTGGGTTTTTAGCAGTTGGAAGGGGCCGAGCACGCTCGTTTCCTCTGGACACCTAGCCACCGGGGATTTGCTGTACGTCCGCGACCTAACGACCAAGAAGACAACTTGGTATATCTTTCAAATTTTGGTTCCATATCCTAATTTCTGTTTGAACATGACGGCAACCCCGGAAACCATCGGGTTCCCGGAAACTCACAGCGTGGCACTGTACTTTCTCGGCTCGAAGAAGCCGGATTCGACGCGGAAGCTTGATATCGTGTACAATTATGATACGGCAATGGTTTAATGCAGATTAATAAATTTTTCTATTCTTCGTGGCCTACCCAACCCTGACCTTCGCTATCTCTCTAACCCACTCTCTCTCTCGCTCTCTCTCTCTCTTCCTCTCTCTCTCGCACTACCCCTCTCTTTCGATTGACCATCGAGAAGTCTTTATTCATGTCACGCAAAAACACAACAATACTCTTACTTACCCCTTCCAAATCACGAAGTTGATTCTAAAGCGTCCGTGGTTTATCCCAAAATGCAAACTTTCAAACGCATACCCAAAAAATAGCCACATCCATGACGACGAGTCCGGGATCAAGGATTTATGTTCTACCCTGCGCCGGCGAATCCAAAGAGTACACGTCTCAAAGTTTTGCATCATGCGAAAGTTCCTGCTTTCTTTTCCACTCCTTAACATCTGCCTTACCCAGAATTATTTTGTGAAGCGAACTGATTCCACTTACACCCTTCCGCCTACGATCTGTTTTGCGAGGTGTGCGCTGTATGCGGAAGACTGTGAAGGAACCGGTACCAAAATGATAAAGCAAAGCGATCGAAAATTCAGATGCAACTTGCAAGCCCTACAGTAATTTCACGGGCCAGGCTCCGGACTACTACTTTTTGGGGAGTGCAATTGGCGAGATGGGGTTTAAAGATACTGGAGAAGTTGTTGGGACATGCGGAAGCTCGGTCCCTGACGTCCTAACGGTAAAATATGATCCCTGAATTTAACTAAAGAACCATTTCAACTTTTTTCCATGTTTTTAGCCAATTTGCGACGAAGGCTGGACGCTTGGCAATAGGACGGATAGATGTTTTATGGTTTGAACACTTGATATACAGGGTGTCCCAATAAACAAGGTCATGCTGGCATTTTGCCATTTCGGCTTCGACCGACTTGAACTTTTTACCCGAGGTGCACAAAGGTATTTAAAATGTTCGCAGTGGCTTTTGGCCTGCTAGCTACTGTAGTTTTCGAGTTACGGCAAACATACACCTTACTTTACGTTTGTTTTTTTCACTGTGAATTTGCTGGAATTAGGCCTGGGAATGTATGGCGAAAATCAAACGCCAACCCTTTTTGATCTTAGACAATTTTCTACTTCGCCCAATTCGGCTTGGAAATAGGCTATTTGAGTCATCTTAGCAACCGAGAATCGGCCAGGATTTGTAAAGGAATAAGGGACTTAGATGACGAAAAAAAAGATGATGACGATTAATTGATGCAGACTCCAAGAGAGCCAAAAAAATGAAGCGAAAAAGCTGGAAACTGAGTACTTTTGCAATAACTCAAAAAAATACTGTAGCTAGCGGGCTGGAGCTTCTGTGAATATTTCAAATTCCCTTCCGCACCTCTGTTCAAGATGTCAAGTCGTTCGGGTTTGAAATGGCAAAATGCCAGCGTGCCGTTTTTTATTGGGACACCCTGCAAATTTTTGGTTAACTGTTTTCCGGACGCAGTTAAAGAATCAGGTTTTGTCTCTTTTAGTGGATTGAAGGCCTCGCGCCAAGTTTTGAGGACGGCAGAACAACATGTCAGAATCAGGGAGCCGATCTACCAATTCTACACAGAGCCGCCGAAAATGATGCCCTGTTTTGTCAGTCGAACGCTAGATTTCGAAATCAAGCCAATTTTTGAAGACTTCTGGCGCTCGAACAACGCAGACAACGACCATTGGCTATGGATCGGGGCTACTAGGGTACGTGTTATCTTTGGTAAATTCCGGAAATGTCTGGCCGTGCAATTGTGGATATACTGGGTGTCCCCAAAGAATCAGCTCCCCCCCCTAGCCGGCCGCAGACGTGTCTGATTCGTACGATTTAGGTATCTAGTGAAAGCTCTCGGAAAGGCGAGCCCAGCACGTCTATCCGATTCTTAAGGTTCTGAAATTTTTGACGTTTACTGATGTTTTTGGGAAAGGGCTGAATTCTTGTTCTTTTCCCCAACATAAACTTGCAATTTTCTTACAATTTAAGAATTTTTACGCTTTTCCTGGCAGCCAAACGGCTGCGTTTTGCAAGCGTTTGCGAAAACACTGCTTAGATAGCGCGACCCTCCGAGGATTCCGGTAGATACCTAAATCGTAAAAATCGGACATGCATGTGGCCGGCTAGAGGGGGTGTGATTTTTTGGGACACCCTGTATGAAGTGTTATTAGCAAAAATTAACTATACTTTAAGTAGAAAGCCTTTTCAAAACCATCAAAAAACCATTAAAACCCTTTTCAAATTCAAAAATTTTTGGCAAAAGGGAACGCTTTTGGAGGAAACTAAATAAAATTTAATTCTCTGCCCCGATAATGCAAAAAAATCAAACTTTCTCGACATATTGGTAGTCAAGGAAGTTGCACAAGATGAAGCATTTCCGGACCCGTACGCTACCTTCAGACAGGACCGGGACTCTTCGATGTGACCTGGATTGACGGGACCCCGGTTGACTACTCAAATTATGCAAGAGCAAACATCGATAATTATGGAGGCGATGAGGAATGCTTTGAGGTTAAATACCATAGATGATACACCTCAAAAATTTAATTCAGGCTTAAGTGCAGTTTGCCACCCCCCGCCCAGCCGGCTCCCACCTACCGTATCTCGGTTCCATGTTCATTTACAGGTGTGTAAAGTATATCAACATACTCACCAGAGCAAGACGACCATTTTGGTATACTTTACACACCTCCAGATGAACAGGGAGCCGAGATACGGTAGGTGGGGTTCGGCTGGGGGGTAAACTGCACCCTAACCTTAATTTAAATTGAAGCTAAACAATAATAACTGGTGGAATGATATCGGTTGTGCTACCGAGCACTATTTGGTTTGCCAGAAGGCGGCGGTCTGTGTATTTGGACTGTATTAAATAAAAAAAAAAATTTAGAAATGGATTAACTCCCAGGGTGCGGAAGTCAGCTTTCCGTGAGAATACGCAAACTTTCTTCGGGAGCTCGAGAATTTGTTCACGCATAAATATACGACAATTTAAAAAAAACACGTAATAAAGCGCAACAATTTTGAAAAACAATTCCCTTTTTTTGCTCCAGCTTTTCTGGGTATTGGCGACCCCAAGCTCCACGTTCCCAACTGCCCAGCTAGCATGTGTTCCAAATTCCCTAACCTCCGCCGCCCGATTTACGACTTCCCCAACGTTCCAACTGATGCCCGCCTCGCCTTTGGTACCTTGCGGGAAAACATGTACGAGGTCACACCCGAAAAAGCTTCGCGCCATTGGGCCTGCTCATCTTTTCACGTGCTCAAGTGCCCACGCTCAAGTAGGTTAATCACCAGTCTGTCGTTCACGCCATAAATTTCGGCAGCCGGGCAAGCTGTGGGGACGATTCGCTGTAAAGCGCGCAAAAAATGCTGTCTTTCCGTGTATTCATGCTCTTTTTGCAATATTCAGCCGCCAGGATGCCGCCCGGAAGCGACGCAAGTAAGCTTCTTGGAAAGTTGGTAGCAACAGTGGTTCCAATTCTACGGTGCGTTTCGCGTGTCGCGTATCGCGCTGCATGTTGCATGTTGCGCATAGCGCTCGTTGCCGGCTGTCGCGTTGCATGTCGGTCAGGTCGGGCGTATCGCGCTACTTGTCGCATGTCGCACGTAGAATTGCGAGTGACGTGTGGTGCATAGCGCTACGTGCCGCGTTGCGCGCTGCGCCATTGTATTGCTTGTCGCGTTTCGCCTCGTGTTCTGCCTAGCGCGTGGGGTGTAGCGTGTCGCGTCACGTTTCGCCTGTCGCGGCCATTCTTTGCCTTACACGCTCTAAACACCTCTTCAGGAAGCATCCCTTGGATTGATACGAATATCCCCAACGAAATCTCCTCCATAACTCTGAGAAAAAATGCCACGCTGTTGGAAGAAAAGAATGGTCGTGTCTCACATTACGTGAGGGGACACGCATTTGTAAGCGATCTCATGCTTGCAACCAAAAATCGAAACCTTAGGACTGGGAGAAGCAGATTTTCTATGGGCTCAAGGTCGAGCTCGAATTCCCAATGGAGTCCGGGCGGGTTTATCGCGATTTCGAGTTCGAAGACGTCTTTGAGGAGGGGACTTTTCATGTGGAGTGAGTTTAGTTGCCGATCTTAGGGCATAAATAGCTATTAAGGATTGTTGGCAACCGGAAGAACAAGCTGAATTTCGTGATACCGAAGGGGATTGTGGTTTTCACGTAAGGGTATCTGGAAATCAGATAAGTGTTATAGGTATAACAAGACGGCCCCAGAATTTAATGCAACCTTCACTCCGGTGTTGTTGCCGAACGGAAGCAGTAAGTATTCGAATTACACGAGCTGGAACAGGAGAGAGAGAGGGGGAGAGAGAGCGAGAGCGAGAGAGAGAGAGACAAAGAAAAGGTGCCAGACCCCCCAGAGTTACAGTAAATCTTCAGGTTGCGACTGCCCAGTCTTCGGTATGATGTCAGGAGGCGAAGGCGATGACGGGCTGGTCCGGGGCAGGAATTTCAAAGGAGAATATCCGCAGGCATGACGAAAGCCCAAACAACCTTGTCTTATTATGGTTTAATCTTTCCTTTCCAAATTTTTCAGGCTTGCGGACTTGCCGCCCACGCCGGTTTCGTGTGCGGCTGGGTTTTCGGCGGTTGGAGAGGGCCAAGTACGGTCGTTTCCTCTGGACACCTAGCCACTGGAGATTTGCTCTACGTCCGAGACCTGACTACGAGAAAAGCCACCTGGTAATTCTCTTCTCGGAACGCCGATTTCGCTGCTTTTAGCTTAAACATGACGGCAACTCCGGAGACACTCGGCATCCCACAGAATCACGATTTTGCGATCTACTTTTTTGGCTCGAACAAGCCCGACTCGACCCGGAAGCTTGACCTCGTTTTCAATTACAATAATAAGGCGTGAAAAAGAATAAAAGGTTTTCCTGTTACTGTGACCTCTGCAACGTGGGCACACATAGTTCTTGAGAAGAGCGACTATTTCTCTCTCTCTCTCTCTCTCTCTCTCTCTCTCTCTCTCTCTCTTTCTCTCTCTCTCTCGCTCTCTCACTCGAAATCTGTCTTTTTCTCTATGTCTCTTAATTTCTCTCATTCTCGCGCTCTCCATAGAAAAGTCTTTATTCATGACGACTGCAGGGAAAGGGTGTTAACTTTTAAGCAATTTTAAGGGTGGTGAGAATTGTTTGTGCGTTGAATCGGGCTTTGTTCTGGCTGGACGGCTTGGAGTCGAGGGTGATGTTGCTCACTTCTTCTTGTCCGCTAAAAAATATTGGATCCGAGAGAGAATGGAAAGAAAAATACCTTTAGAAGCGCCCGGCTTGGCGTCCTTGCCCTTCTCGGGGGTGGTCTTCTTGTCGGGTTCGGTGGACTTGCCGGCGGCGGGGGACTTGGCGTCCTTCTTGTCCTTGATGAGTTTGGCCGTCTTGTGCTCCGATTTTTTCTCTTCCCAATCCCATGGGTATTCCTGGAAAGAGATAGATTTTAGGAGGCCGAGAGAGAAACAGAGAAATAGGAGAGAGAGAGAGAGAGCGAGAGAGAGAGAGAGCGAGAGAGCGAGAGATCGAGAGAGAGAGCGAGCGAGAGAGACCTACCTCAAGATCGTTGAGGCACAGTGAATTCTGGAGCAGCCCATAGATGGTGTTGTAGTCGGGGTCGTCTGAATAGCCCAGCGCGTCGATCGCTTCGATGATCTTGATGAACTCGATGGGCATCCCTAAAATCCGCGAATTCCCAGGCCACCTTACGCTCCGACGTACCCCCAAGCAAATAGCGCAGACCGTTGGGGGTGCGCACCTGAGTCTGCGTCGAGAGCAGGTCGGCTTTGTTCTAGGACACCACGTCGGTTTGTTTCTGCAAAAGTGCATACCGTAATATTACACCACGGGAGCGATCCCTTGCAGAACTCAATGACCATGTAGAGCCACATCTCGAGGTCGTCCTTGCGGCAGAGCTCTTCGCGCTTTAGACAACGTCGGGATGCGTACCTGGAGATGTACGGTGAGATGAGAGAGAGATAGAGAGCCATAGCTGCTACCTGATATTCCCCTTGTAAAGCCAGGGATCCGTGCGCGGCACCTTGATCTCGCCGTGCTTGTTCTTGTACTGGTGGGCGAGCCCGAAATCCAAGCAGTACACCTATGCACGACTTGCCATTCGGTTTACAGTACCCACCACACGCTTCTCCTTCGTATCCTGGCGCCCGACGGAAAAGTTGGTCGGGCTGACGTCACGGTGGATGTAGCCGAGGTCGTGCAGCGTCTCCAGGGCCTAAAGCTCCGGCCTTCGGTCCTCTTAAATCCCGATACCTTAAGGCACTGAATCGACACCGAGATGCCGCAGCCGAGGGTGAAGCGGCGGAGGGGCTGCTCTTTGCGCAGCGCCTAGGGCGTACCATTTACATATCGTGATGTCTCCGTACCCTCAGGCTCTTCCCGCACAGCGTCAGCACGAACCAGTTGAACGTCTTCTCCTGCCCGCGGTCGTAGACCTGAAAAATTCTGATTTTCTTGAAAGTAGAAAAATACCGTAGGGAAGTTCTTCAGCTTCTCCTGCTTTTCGAGCTCGAGCAAGATGAAGAGCTCGTTTTTGAGGACACCCTCCTTCTCCTCGGCTCGCTCAGCCTAGAATTAAAACTAAAAAAAATCGATAAAACTGGCAAACCCTAAGCACAAATTTCTCCTTCTTCTTCTCGACGATGAAGTTGAAGATGGGGTACAGGAAGGCTTCCGGCTGGATCGGCGTGTCGACCACGTACTCCCCAACTTTGGTGCCCTGAAAAATGAGTAGTACTGCTAGCGAGGGACCAATTTCTCTCCAGCCATCCCGTACAGCCTATAGTAAAATAGGTTAGAGTGCAGTCTAGCCGTAACTTTTCAGCCATACGTCCTATTAATGCGCCGAGTATCTCAAAATGTTCCCCGTGGTTCCCCGTCCTTACATCAAAAATTTTTAGAAAATTTTTTATAACAATTATATATCCTACTATATATAAAAAAATAGTGTCTGTGTGTGTGTGTGCCACTTTGCATCCACTTCCGTCTGTCTGTCCAGAGGATATCTCAAGAAGGGACGGGTATTAGGCTACGTATGATACGTCATTAGGTGCGTAATGGTCTAGGGATGACTGCACACATATCAGATTTTTAAAAATTAACCATTTTCGCTATTAAATTTAGGTTTTTGTAAAAAGCTGTTTGTTAGGAATAATTAGCATAGACCGGAAGTGGGCGGGCGCCTAAATAAAGAGGCAGAAAGGGTTTTTTCATTTTTTTTTTTCTTCTGAATAGAGGACAATTATGCAAAGGGCAGAATAGTCCGCGACGGGGCCAGGGTTGAGAAGTCGCGAAGCGGCTTTTCAACCCTGGTCTTTAGTTAATTTTTGTTGTTCCAAAGTGAGTTTTCGTATCTCGGCTATCTTTTGACGTACAGAGCTGTCACTGGTACCAAAATGTAGCTCTTGCTCTGGAGATCCAGCCTACAGTACGTTTGAGTCGAAAAATAGCGGAAAATAAAAATATTTGAGTTTTAGACTCCTAGTACATCGAAGCATAGCGGCTTAATCTTTTCGACTTTCAGAATCTTGTAAAAAAAATTTTAGCAATTTTTGCCGCAAGAAAACAAGGTTTTTTTAAAGTAATTCAACCACGGCAAACATTTTGAGATATTCCACGCATTAATAGGACGTATGGCTGAAAAGTCAGGGCTGGGGGGGGGGGGTAAACTACACTTAAGCCGTAAAATATCATCCATTTTTAGCTATCAAAAGCACATAAAAAATCCATTAATAGCCAATTCTTAGACGTTTTATGTAATTTCCTGGCAATGCAACACTACCTAGAACGCTATAAAAATGCATTAGATGTAATCAACCAATTAAATGAGTTTGAGTAAAAAGCACCTTCTCCAGCTCAAGCGGTGGCGCCATCTCTTCCTCGCCGGGCGGTGGCGCACCCTCCGGCTTCTCATCCGCCTAAAAATCAATTCAATAAAGAAGAACGCATAAAATTAGAACGCCAAGAAAATTTACATACCTTTTTCTCGGGAGTACTCATTGCTGGCGGCCCGTGTGTTGGGTAGAGGGGCGAGTGAAAAATTTTTCCGCCGATTCGTTATCCAGGGAACAGGATTTAAGGAAATTTATGCAAATTTAAAAAAATATTTTAACGTTTTTTGAAATGGCGGATGCTAAATAAAGATTTCTTTTCTTATTTACTGTATTGATTTAAACAAAAAGTGATGTTTTTCGCTGTAACGGAAGAATAGAGTAGAAAAACGTAGTTTTCGTCGATATTTTTTCGACATAAATATTTATTGTAGTCAAAATCGGGACACCAATGAAGGGTAATGATAAGCTCTGGCCGGTTGAAAGATTGGAATTTCCGCATCCTCATCCAGGGTCCGAATCCGTTTCTCGAGCTGCGAAATCTGACGGCATGCCTCCGGGTTCACATATTTTCGCTTATACAGTGCGCTCATAAATTTTTCCTTTAGCAATTCACACTCGGCCATTAGTAGACCACTTGCTAGGGCGCCGCCATGAAAAATCGAGGGGGTTTTTGAGTTGTGAGATTTTGAGATCGAACTGGATTTTTACGAGCTTTCGAGAGAGAACGCTAACTAGCGAGTTGCACTCTTGCTCGTTTTGAATTTCAGCTGTTATTTCCGCAAAAAAAGGAGGTTGAATTCCTGTCGAATCTCTCGGAATTTGTATTGAGACATTAGGATTTCGCTGGTCGAGCTTTCTTCCGGTTGGAGCTGTCGAGTCAATTCTTCTAGTCCAGAAAACTTGAGTCTCAGATTTTCAAATTCGATTTCTGAAGAGCTTGAGGTTTCCTCGAGTCTCTCTCTAATTGTCGATAAATTTAAACGCCCGGCTGCACCAAATTTCTCCTGGATTTCTTCTAAGCTTCTGATTCCTATCTCGATATCTTCGAAATACTGGTCAAATTCCGTCCATTTCCTTTCCAGCTCTTGAAGCTTGATAAGCCGGGCGCGGCTCTCCTCAAGATGGTGCTTGATCAGCTCTTGCTCAGCGGAATCATGATTTTCTAGTCGGCCTTGAAGGACTTTCACCATGTGCTGCAGCTGAACTATTCCGTGTCGTACATCTTCTGAAGTTCCTGGGCTCACATTACCCACATACATCTTCTGACAATCTTGAATAATATTTTCCAGACTGATCTCGTTTTCCTGATCGATTAGTTCTTTAGTATTCTCATTTTTCAAGCCAGGAAAATCGAAAGTCGAGATACTTCTTGTCGTGTTAGAAGTTATAGATCCGGAATCGTTGTCGGAAGTGCTTTTGAGGCCTGTAGCTCCGATTGGGCGCACTAATCGAGTTCGATAAGCGTTGACCTCAGGCTCGAAGGGAAGGAAGGGGAATTTCTAGAGCGTCCCAAATCGTCGACCAACAAAAGTTACCGGCAGATCCTTAATTTGATGCAGGATCTCGGATGCCGCAGGTCGTGCTTTATAATCCGGCAGGCAACAACTATAAGTTGAGTTTTGCAAGTTCGAAATGATTCATACCTCAGAATAATTTTCTGCAGAGGCTCTATGCAGTTTGGAGGTTCCATGACAAAATTTTGATTTCCGCAGTCCAACCAAAATTGAAAGTTATCGAAAACAACGCCGTATTGCGCCAAAACGGGCCTATAAACTGGATTTATGAGGCAGAGTGATCCTCACCTTCGCTCAATTATTTCCCAAAGAACCAATCCAGTAGAGTAGATATCGCTTTGAAGGGAAGCCTAGAAAAAAATCAGCATACTGGAATGCTCCTACTCTTCGTTTCCCCGATGGCCCATTCATTTCCGGGCTTGCATAGCGCATTGTTCCGGCACACGTCGCTGTTCTCGTTGAGTTATATTCTTTTACGCAACCAAAATCGGCAAGTTTTAGGGT